AAAAGACATCTAATCACAAAAAAAAGGAAGACGGCAAGTCAGCCAATATCACGGGTTGCCAGGTAGCACGTCGATTGTCCATAAAATTGTGTTTTGGGTCAAAATTGAACAATTTTTGAAATTTGGGGTCAAATTGAGGTTAGATTAAATGAAAGGATGAAATTGGAGAATATTAAAATGTGAGGGTTTATTTTTGTCTTTTACAAACCTCTGGACTATGTGTGGACTTCTTTGTAAAAGAGTTTTTTGGGTGGATCCCTTTATGAATAAGTACGCATTGATGGGCTTATTAAAAAAATAACGGGTAAAACTAGTTAATGAATTTTACAATTTTCTTCAATTGTACTATACGGCTCCGCTTGGTTGTCGAAATAAGATAAATCTTCGTATAAAATGACTATGCTAATTATTTTAAAAAATATTTATTATCGAAATTTGAATTTTTTATCTCCCCGTTATTTAATACTGTTTGATGTTTGGTTTCCTTAACATTAATCCAATTACTTAAAAATGACCAAATTACCCTTCTTATTGTACATATCTTTTTTCTTCTTCTTAATATGCTCCACCGGTTCATATACACTACCATTGATGTGGTTAATAAGCACCCGCTAAAACACATACACTGGGGTGTATGTGATTATATGCAGATCAATAGTTAATAATCATATGGGGTATTATACCGGAGTGTAGTATCAATTAAATCAGATACTATAGCAAAAGTATTTTTTAGGGCCCATATATTATTATTTTACATAATTGTTTATTGTTTCCTTAAAAAAACATTAATTCTATATGCACAATTAAGTATTTGAGACCCTTCTTATATATTTTTATTTAATAAAATTGAGAGTGTAATATTTTATTTTTATTTTTTATATTTTGGTACCACTTAACAAGCCAAAAAATCCCAAAAAATTGGTGGCCTAGGCCATGCCGAATTAGCCTAGTGGGATAGGCCGACCTTGCCTAGGATTTTAGGATTCAAACTCCAGTTTAAAATACATTGACTCCAACTGCAGTTGCAATCTATACACACTTGAAACAAATATTTCGACAAACAACCACAATGACGTGTCTTCAACGTTTAACTTTGCTTACTAGTATAAATTAATAAATTATACCAAAAAATATAAAAATTCATGAGATATAATATGCATGATGAATTAAAGTCATTGAGATGCTACACCCAGTGGCTAGACCAGAAATTTGGTGAGAGGGGGGCTTAAGCACACAGGGGTTTGAGGGCAGCCAGGGGCGGAACCAGGATTAGAAAGTAGGGGGGGCTGACTAAAATTTCGGGGTTCGGGGCAACGCCCCGAAAAAAAATTTAGGTTCGCAAAACATTGAAAAAATAGGCTTATACTGCGAAAAAAATTACGACACATATCTATAATATCATATATATCTATAATTTATATAAAATTATGGAGAATAAACAAAAAATTTAAGGTTAAGACACATACTTACAAAATCTTTGGGGGGGCCAAAAGTAATATTCAAAAAATATTAGGTCAAAATAGCTAAAAAAAAATTTTTTTTTTTTTCTTGGG